GAAGTGCTGAGGGAAACCAGGCTGCACTGGGCTTATCGTATTGATAGGAGATTCATTCCTTCCTAAAGGACTTTAATGCACATTTTTAAGTTGTGGAATAAAATGCACCACACAAAAAGTAAACAAGAAATACATAGGATACACATAAAACATGTAAAATACACACAAAACATGGACAACAGCAAGACAGAATTTATCAGCAAAGCAGAAATCTAGATACTCACCAGCCAGTCAAGGAACAGCAAGTACCTTGACGTCAGCACCTCAGCAGCCTGCCTTCTGCCGCCTCCCATAAGACAAGCTTATGGCCAGTATGTGACCCAGTTTTATACACGTTCCATGTGAGTTGGAAAAGAATGTTGGTTCTGCAATCGTAGAGTTCTAGAGATGTAAATTAGGTCATGGTTACAGATTGACTTGTCAAATCTGTATTATATTCTTTTGTCTTACCAGTTTCCTCATTGTTTAGAGGTGTACTAAGATAAAGTCTCTCACAACCATAAATTGACTTATTTTTCCTTCGAGTTCAGATAGTTTTTGTTCATTCTAGTCCATTCTCCTTGACTGCCAGGCCACATCGATGTTATATAAACCATTCTTGTTATATTAACAGTGGCTGGACTTTTTCCAGACAGACCTCATGTATATTTTAAATCATAATATTTATCTACTATCACAATTCTTTCTTGCCTTCTCTCCTTAAATATTTATATCTTCTCACACAGTGAGAACTCTGGTTCCCAAGAACCTCAATATATTTACTCATTTGTTCTGTTAATAATTTCAGAGTTACCAATCAATACTACTATTAACGACAAACCGATTAAGTGTGTGTGTATGTGTATATATATATACACACACACTTAATCTTAGTACACCTCTAAACAATGAGGAAACTGATAAAAGAACACAATACAGATTTGACAAGTCAATCTGTAACTATGACTTATGACATATACATACACATACACACAAAAAAGTTTTTGCAGTTCTTTGTGTCTTTAAAACAAAGTCAGTACATTTTTTCAAATATTACTTGAATGAACTCTCTATTTGAGGTTTTAGTCCTTTCTTTTATTCAAATTTTTAGTTGGCTTTTTTCTTTTTAATTTATGTTTTGAATAAGTAAAATACATGGTTTTAAAAGTCAAACTGTATTCATTCAGGGAATTTTTACTCTTGCATGACATTCCCACCCCATATAGCTAGCCATTTCCATTAGTTTCTGAATTTTCTTTTTCGTGTTTCTTCTTTGGAAAATAAAGCAAATATTTACATGTACTTTGATGTCTCCTTTCTCACTCAAAAAGTAGCATGTAGCATGTTGTGTATATTTACACCTTGCTTTTTTACGTTCACAACATAGCCTGGATACTTTCCCACCTTAGATCCTAGAGGTGTTTTTCTTTCCCCCTCCTGTTCCCCCCTTCCCTCCCTTCTGTCCCTCCTCTTCTCCCCCTTGTGTAATATAATTATAAAGGTGTTTCATAGTTTATTCAACTGGTCTATGGATGGGCATTCAGGTTGCTTCTAAGCTTTGATATTTTATAGGATCTGTGTAGAATTAGGTAGTGAGAAACCTTGTGAATACATGTGGTTTTATATTTGTGGAGGTGTGTGTTCAGAGTAAAATTCTAAAAGTAGGCTTGCAGGTTCAGCAGATAAAAGGCTGTGAAGAAAGGGCATGTGGCTGGTGTGCTGGGAAAACAGCAGAGAGGCCACGTCTAAAACAACAGGCTTAGGGATGGAAAGTGGCCTGCCCCAGGTCCTGTCCCTCAGCAGCAGAGCTGAATTGGAGCCCTGGCCTCTGTCCGCCTTTTTAGTCCACTGCAGCACACTGGGGAAGGCAGACGTGGAGCCCAGAAGTGTGTTTGGCCACGGCCAGCCTTCTCAGGGCCACTAGGTCAGAGGAGGGAGCAGTGTCTGTGGGCCTGAGTCAGATGAGGCTTCACAGATGGCATGGGACGTGAAGGATGCGTGGGGCTGGAGTAGCTGCTGAGGGAGCGGGGCCACATCCTGAGCTGGGTGTGGAACACAAATGCATGGGTAGTTTGGGAAATGATGCCAGGGATGGCGTGTTTATCTCAGAGGAATGGGAGGAAAAGGAGAGACAGGTAAGTACATGGGACCTTATAACAATTCTTGCATTCCAGGATGAAAGTCCACATTGATTTAATTGTCTGGAGAATCACTACAAATTTTTGAAGTGGGAATGAGATGACGGGTGCCTTCATACCTTCTGTCGTTTGTGGTAGTACTTATTAGATATCTATGTGCCTGGCTCTGGTAGGTTTCGGTGTCAGCAGATACTTTGTTAAACTGTTTTCTCTCCTTAATGTCTTTGAACATAACTTCACATCCATATTAGAAAATACTCAGATGCCAACAAAGTCTTGTGGCATCAATCAAGCTTTCTAGTTGTCCACCTCTATACCTAGAGCTTAATCGATTGTGAGGTGGGGGAAACCCACATACACAAAAACAGACAAACACGGAACAGCAGCACAGGACATGCTCCTTGCTCCTAAGGGCTTCAGGAATGTGGCAGAGGAGTACGTACTGTACTTTCACTTGCGGGGAGTGGGTGGTCATTTGTTCTACTCCTTTTCCTTATATTGGAGTTGGGTCTAGAGCCGTGCTGTCCAATGATGTAGCCACTGACCACGTGTCTATAGAGCACTGGGAATGTGGCTAGTCTGAGTTGAGGTTTTCTGTAAAAGTGTAGAGACTTCCAGTTTCAAAGACTTTGCATGACAAAGAGGATACAAAATATCTGAATAATAATTTTCCCTTGTACTGAATACAGGTTGAAATAATATTTTGAGTAATTTGGATTAACTGCATTAAAATAAATTTCAACCATTTCTGTTTACTTTTTTAAAACTAGAAAATTTAAAGTTGCATATGAGGCTGGCATTATATTTCTGTGGGACAGTGTGGTCTAGAAACAATGAAATTTAAACACCTTTCTATTGTATCAAGTGTTGTATAGTATCAGTTTGTCCCACTTGTAGTGTTACTAAATTTGATAATTTTCCAAATATTCCACTTTAGAGATACCTTTTGATCAGTTCCAGAACTTTCCATTATAAAGATATATTTTAAAATCACTTCAAACTTTTTGTTGTAAAGATACTTTATTTATTTTTTTAAAGATTTTATTTCTTAGAGGGGAAGAGAGGGATAGTAACACTTTTCTCGCACGTCCCCTACTGACAACCTGGCCTGCAGGCATGTGGCCTGACTGGGAATCGAACCAGCGACCCTTTGGTTCCCAGGCTGGCACTCAGTCCACTGAGCCACACCAGCCAGGGCTGTAAAGATACTTTAAAACAACACTTTCAGAACTTTCCATGGTAAAGATACATTTTAAAGTATTTCCGGAGGTAAGATGCGTTATTTCTTTTAAAACTAGAAACCTGGCACCTTGGGAACGTTCTGTTCTCAGTTTCTACCTTCCGGTTTGGGTACCCTTTGGAGATCCTTTCCCGAAGAAGGTATGTTGGGGGCTATACAAAATGGTCAGTTTCTAACACTGTCATTTCTTTTTCATAAATAGTTGTCACCCTTCTATAAAAAAAGAATTTCTTTTTTAATTTTATTTTTAGGTGAAGGAGCTGTGTGGTATGCGGATTAGTCACTTCATACAATAGATGTTTGATTAGAAAAGTTGGGCACAAGTGAAATGGTAAAATGTGGGAATCAGCTGTCATGGACAACGGTTGTTCACTCTTCAAAGGAATCTTATTGTAAATCTTTTTTGCCAAGCAAGTAATTACCTCTTAATTTTTGTTCTTATAAACTTGAATTTTCCTGTATGCCACATTATTCGACACCCTGTTGAGTGCTTACTGTGTCTTGAACACCGTTAAGCACTCGGACCAGAGTGGGAAGCTGAGGAAACATGGCGGCCTTCACATAGGACACGTTACGGTTAAGAAGATGGCAAGAGTTGCTTAGAGCCCAGTGAGCGAAGGTGATTAAGAAGCAATGTCTGAAGAACCTGACTTGGGAGGAATTGTATAGTTTTTTGTTGACAGCCCTGCTCAGGTAGTTCAGAACCCTAAGCAATCATTCGCTGGGAGTCTGATGCCAAGACTATATAGTAATAGTGGCAGTTTTCTCTTGCTGTCCCTTTAATAGAACATTGAATTATGACTGTAGACCCCTCCCCTCAATGTGCAATTCCATCTTAATTTTTGGGGTCCCTGGACATCTCCAAGTGTTTTGGGGGTTCACAGCTCCACAAAGCATGTCCTAGAGACACATTCCTCAGCCTCCTGAGACACTGAAGACTCAGAGCAGTGGGCAGGCAGCCACCGCCCATCCCTGCTCCTGGTCACTAGACTCCCTTGGGGCTGGGTAGGAAAGCCACAAGCACACCACTTCCTGGGCATGCTCAGTGAAGTCCTAAAGTAGAGGTTTCTAGAAGTTCTAAAAAGCCCTATAGGCTTCGGAGAAGCTAGCATAGTTCAGACTTTAGAAGACCATTTTTTGTGAGGGGGATTCCAGTGCACTACCTGGGCTGAAGGACCTTCCCGTCCCAGCTTCCAGGCTGTGGGGCTCGTCCTGCTGACCCGGACCAGCAGTCCCGGGGTGAGAAGCCCCTGCTGCTCCTCAGCTGTGCCGCGTGGCAGAAACCTGTGGCCTTTTGAGTCCCCCGAGGAAAGTCCAGTGGCACTTGGCTTGATAAATGCTTATACTTGAGCTATCTCTCAAAGCAAAGGGATTTCCCACCAAAGGTAAGTTAAAAAAAAAAACCCTTAAAAATTATACCTTCGACAGCATCTCCCTTCAGATTAGTGAGAAGGACAGGTGTGCACCTGTCGTTAAAGAAATAAGATGCCTGTCATTTGCACTGCTATGACCTCAGGTTCTAGAATATCAAGGCAACATTCCTGAGGAGAGCTGTTTCAGTGTGCGTTGAACCCCCACTTGGGATCAGTCAGCTTACAGTCAAAGGGAAAAGGACAGCCCGAGTGACAAGAAAACCTATCACTATGAACTGGTTTGGAAATGACTTCTCGAAGTTACCTGAGGATGTCTGCTTACTCAATATACACTCACCTCTGTCGCTCTCACTCATAGCATCTGAAGAGGAACGACAGTTTATTTCCAGCATGAGGTAGGGAGTAGTAGGGTGACCCCCCCCCCCCAGCCCGCCCAACCCCCAGCTTTTGCCTTTTGGTTGGAAGATTGAATCAGTTTCTTATAAGGAGCCAAGAAAAGATAGCTGGGCTTGGGAAGAAAGTAGTTGCTATCATTTCCCATGTGAACTTCAAAAGGGGGCAACTGATTAGTTCCTTCTGGCCTCCTTGGCTCACCAAAAGAGAAGGGCTGGCTTGGGTGAAATGCTGTCTCTTTATTCTTAAAGTGTTGAACCCTGATCAAGTGAGCCTATTTCTGATGGCTGCCAGTAATTTCTACCCTTTTGAAATCAAATGGCAGTGTAACATTGTCTGGGATAATAGAGCTAAAAGCTGTGCAGGAAGCTACAACAGCTACTTTAGTATGATCCCTGAGTAATTACTCGGTTCTTCAAGGCACTACCAAGTCCCTCGTACATAGAAGGTGCTCAGCGAAGGGTAGCTGTGCTTGTTATTTTCTTTATGACCCGTGAGCCGTAATCTTGAACTGAAATGTTTTAGCCAATCTTGTTAATTCAAACACTGTAATATAAAAATCACCAAAGAATCAAGGTATAAAGGAAAGAAGCTCAATAATGTACTTCTTGAGTTCAAAATTAGGTAAAACACTGCCCCCAAAACTTTTCCTTTCACTGAGGGAAAGCTACCCTCTCAGTTACTTGACTTGGGGTAGATAGGGGACAGGCTGCCTCCCCGAAACAGAAGGCGATACACACACGATGCGGGTGAGCCACCAGCGGAACATTCTCTTCTCGGGCTGCACACTGGACATGGTTTATTTCAGGGGGGAAGTGAGTCCAGGGGCTCAGCACTAAGAAACTCCTCGACTAAATATTGGAGATCATTGGAAGCTTTTAATATAATGACGGGAGCACCGACCAGTAGGCACTGTCACGTTGAGACGCAAATCCTCAGACTGTGTGCAGGGGTGCAGGAAGATTTTAGGGTTCTCTGCTTTTATTTCATCAATCATACCTGACAGTCATGCCTCTCCTAGGGAATGAAACACAGTGACAGACACGTAACTTAGAGCCAGAATTGAGGAGGACTCGAATATAACGGAAGAGACATGTACATTCAACTTGATCCAGCTCAGCAAATCCATGCACCCGCTAGGTTCGAGGTAGTGGCTGGACTCTGGGGCTCCAGGGAGAAGTGGCCTGTGCCCCAACCTCATGGAGCTTACATGGAAATAGAGGGAATATGAGGTGTAGAAAGGTGGTTTTCTTCAGGGCCAGTTTGATAGGTTTCTTAGTTGGCTTGGGCTGCCGTAGCAAAATATCATAGAATGGAAATGGCTTGAGGAATGGGAACTTATTTTCTCACGGCTCCGGAGTCTGGAAGTGCAGGATCAGGATGCCAGCACAGCCGGGCTCTGGGGGGCACTCCGTCCTGGCTTGCAGCCTTCTCATTGTGTGCTCATCCCACTGGACCAGAACCCCACTCCGTCTTCACTTACCACCCCCACACAGCCCCAGTACAGTCCCATTGGGGGTCAGGTTCAGCACATGGATCTGGGGGACACGATTCAGTCCACAGAGGTAGGTCCTCGCCCACATTACAACAAATATACTAAAATATACTGTACATTATATCCACATGTTTTCTTTGCTGTACAATAAGTGAAAGGATTTATATAATTTTGCTTTTGAAATTATCTGAGTTATTTATGATTGGCATCTGCTTGCCAGCAGACATTCATGCTTGGGATTTTTTTTTATGAGAGAATTATAAGTTGTTTCCAAATGTAATAAAAATATTTCTGCAGTTTTTCTATTTTTGAGCCAAGACTTTTTTCCAGGTCTCACTTTTGTAGACTCTTAGAAACCTCGTCAGGCCCCTCCGCATAGTCTCGAGTGCCCAGCGGATAATTAAAGGGCTGAGCGTGTTCCACGGCGGCATTTTCAGCTTCCAGGCAGGTAGCCCCGGGCCCTAGCTCCTCTGGCGCAGCATCTCCAGCTGTTTGCCCACCTGCCTCCCCAGCCCCTGTGTCACTGGCACTTTAGACACTGCAGTTGCGAGCAGCCTCTTTCCTCCCAGTCTGCCTCCTCCATGAAGTGGCATTCTGGGTTTGAACTGAGAGGTCTCTTGCTTCCACATTGGTGAACTATTACGAAGCACCAAGAGACACTGAAGATGTAGACTGGACACTGAGTTGGAAGGACAGGATTTGGAACAGTAAAGCCATTAATAGAGGTGGGGCTCACAGAGAAGGTATGAAGGAGGAGGGAGGGAGGTAGTGAGGTCCACTGGGGCTTGGCATCATCGGGTCTCTGCCTCCTGTGTATGCCTCTGCCTTCGCTATCAGCTCCCCTCTGAACTATCTTCTTTGTTTCCTAATTAATCACCGTCCTTGACTCTCCAGGGGCCATGCACCAGCCCAGGCTGTGGTGAAGCAGCCTGCCCAGGGCGCCGGAGGCAGAGCAGCAATCACAGTGACTGTCCCAGCGACCTGCGGGGACTGGAGCACCGGCCTCTTCAGTATCTGCAGAGACAGGAGAATCTGTACGTCTTTCCTATTCATTCACTGAAGTTCTCTTTTACTATTTTCTTTCCCAAGGCATCAGTGGGTGGAAAAGCAACCTTGGGCGCAAGGACAGAAATTAAATGGTTTCAGAATAACTGAACTAATCCTCTTCTGACTCAAATGTACTTCTTGGCAGGAAAAAATCTTGCCTTTCAGAGATGTGGATGCTTTTATAGAACAGGTGGTGACTTAAAGATTTTTTAAATGGCAAAGTACACTTTTGGTAAAGATGCACAAAATAGTAAAACCTTCCTGGTGGATGGTTTAGTAATACGTATAAAAAGAGCCTCAGGTGTTACATAGCTGTTGACCTGGTAATTACATTTTCAGATGTTGAGTCTAAGGAAATAAATCACATGCAAAGATTTAGCAGCAACATGAAATTTCACAGCATTGGTTATTATAGCAACAATCTGGACAACCTAAACATTCAGTGAGGGCCTCATACAGTGAGTTATCATGCAGCCTTGAAAACTCATGTTATCAAATAACATTTAATGGGATGGAAAGATATTTCAGATACATTTTTAAGTTAAAGAAACAGATTGCAAAGCTGTGTACCTTAGACACCATTTCGAAGGGAAATACTTAGCAAAGTATCTGGAAGGATACAAACACAAATGCTTTCAGCCGGTGTCTCCAGATGGTAGGCTAATGAGTAATTTTTTTAAATTTTGACTTTTCTCTCTATTAGTTCTATAAGGAATATGTGGTGCTCTTAGAACTGTAAGAAACATAACAGAAGAAGCCCTCTTGATTGAAACCTTTGCAGAGAGTGGTTTAGAGATACCAACAACACCATCCTCTAGCTACATGATTTTCCCCTGGGATTAAGGTTCAAAGCTCATTGATTCTATTTTTACCTTAGGACATTCTGACCCACCTCTGGTGCCACCTGTCAGTCTCTGCTTCCAGGACCTGATGCTCTTGCCCTGGAGAGCAATTCGATCACTGAATTTTTCTTGGAGTGTGTGTGTGTGAGTGAGTGAGTGTGTGTGTGTGAGTGATTGGGAGGTTCCCTTTGAAAGATGAAGGACAGTCTCTTCAGTTCAAAATCAACAGATCCTGGGTCTAATATTTTTGAAGAATATGGCTCTCCCCTCTCTTTGCAGGCTCTGGGAAGACCTGAATTTGTCCCAAAGTCTACAGGGTAGCTCAGTGAGAGAGCTCTGGACCATTGACATGATCTAGGTCCTTGTTCAACCAAGACTCTTGCACAGGGAAAAGCCCTGACACTTTTTGGTGCTGTGACCCACCCAACTTCACGCCTTCACTGCCTGGGCCTCCGGAGAAGAGGCTGCCCAGCCCCAGACACCACCCACCCCTCTTTGCACGTCTGACCTAGAGCTCAGCTGGTTTCTTCCTGCCACTGCGAACTGTGTGGATGTCTGACCAGACAATTAAGGCGGTTCTCTGATTCTTTCAGGAGTCTTCCTGGTTTTCATCCAGACTTTCTGACTCTGGTTATCATCTAGTATTGAGGTAAAGAGAAGGCAGGACAGCCATGTAGACATGAGAAGACTGAGCCCCAGATGGGATATGAACCATTTTCCTTTTGTAACTTGTGGCTGCGGGTTGGAGAGCCATCAGTGCATTTCCCAGTAGGGCATAGCCTGGAATACAATGCAGTGATTGGGAGAACACGTTTGTATCAGATACAGACTTTGCTTTGAATCTTCTTTTTTTAAGACTTATTTATTTATTTATTTATTTATTTTTAAGATTTTTATTTATTTATTTTTAGGGAGGGAAGGGAGTGGGGGAGAGAGAGAGAGAGAGAAAGACATCAATGTGCGGTTGCTGGGGGTTATGGCCTGCAACCCAGTAATGTACCCTAGCTGGGAATCGAACCTGGGACACTTTGGTTCACAGCCCGGGCTCAATCCACTGAGCTATGCCAGCCAGGGCTTTATTTATTTATTTTTTAGAGGGGGAAGGGAGGGAGAAATAGAGAGAGAGAGAAACATCAATGTACGGTTGCTGGGGGTCATGGCCTGCAACCCAGGTATGTACCCTGACTAGGAATCGAACCTGCGACACTTTGGTTCACAGCCCACGCTCAATCCACTGAGCTACGCCAGCCAGGGCCTGCTTTGAATCTTAACTGCCTTTTTCTGGTCATTTGATCTCAAACAAATTCTCTAAAATGAGGACAATGAAGGAACCCACCTCAAGGGTTGTTATCAGGATTAAAGCAGACAATGTATAGAACCTACTCTTCTCAGCGGTTTGGATCATAACTGGATCAGAGTTCTTCTGGTCACATGTTGTACTGGGTTGAACAGTGTCCCCTCAAAGTCCATGTCCACCTGGAACCTCTGAACGTGACCTTAGGTTGAAAAAGAGGTTTTGCAATCCAGTCAAGTTAAAAAGAGGTAATAGTGGATTAGGGTGGGCCCTAATTCCATGGCTTGTGTTCTTCTAAGAAGAGGGGCAGCTGGACACAAACAACAGGAAAGAAGGCCCTGCGAAGGTAGAAGCAGAGACTGGAGCAATGCATCTATAAGCCAAGAAATGCTAACGGTTACCAGAAACCACCAAAGTCTTGGAGTGAGGTGTGGAACAGACTCTTCCCTCTGAGCTTCCGGAGGACCCAGCCCTGCCAACACGCTGATTTCAGACTTCCAGCCTGCAGGATTCTCCAGAATTTGCCTGTGACAGGATCATTTCTCTTGTTTTGCAATGCCCAGTTTCTGGTATTTTGCTCTGGTGGCCCTAGGAAACTAACATCCAGGCAAATGCTGGGTTTCATTAGAAGCCTATGGGATAACTCACAGAATCAAACAATCAACTGGAAACTAAGTTCAGAAGGGGCAAGATGTATGAGCATTATCGGGTGCTATAGCTGAGAGTCTGGTCAGCTCCAGATTTTTGCTTTCCTGTCTGAGGGTCGATGTTTCAGCAGATGGAGCCTGATTTGCCTAGCTTAGGCACATGCTGCTACTTGGCCAGGCCAGGGCACTTTGAATGAGAGTTCCATCAATATTGTCCACAATTGTAAGGGATAATTTCCTAAGTTTTTCTGTCAGGGTGCTGTCAAACCTCGGTCCTCAAACATCTCCCATCTCAAATAATTCAGTTATTGACCAAGTTGTTCATGGCAAAAAATATCTCAGTTGTTCTGTTCTCTCCCCAGCAACACTTTCATGCCGATACCTCTATGATCAGTCAAAGGAGATTCGATTTTTGAACAAATTGGTTCTCGAACAGCCTTCCAGAATGAATTAAGTTTGAGAACTGAGGTCCCACTGTGTATATACAAGAATGCACTGGGTGAATCTTTGGTGCTACTGTTATTATTATTTTACAGTTTTATTATTCACCAGCACGTTGAGAGCAAAGAGTAGAGCCAGGAGACAGACTGGCAGCTGCAGAGTGAGTTCTACTCAATCCCAAGAGTATCCAGGGAGTCGGGCAAGGACAGGACCACCCCTCCCCACCCGCTCTGTGCCGCTGCTGGGCTCTGCTCCCCACCCCCATCAGTGCTGCGGAAACCCTCCGCGCCGGTTTCCTTGGGAGTCCTTGCTGGTCTGTTTGGTAGCCCCTTCTAGGGGCGCGGAGAGGAGGACGGACATGTGAAGAGACATGGACAATATTCTTTACAACTGGGCCTGATCCTGAAGGGCAGTCCATGGATATACAGCACAATGATCTCGAATGTTCTGTGTCCTAATTGTTGTTCCCTGGATAGGCTCCTCTTTTCTGGCTGCCCGTTTCTCCAAGCTAATTGTCTCAGCAGGAAATGGGAAGGCCATCTCCCTTTACCCACTTGTTGTCTGTGCCGCGCCCCCGAGGACGCCCCTGCGGCATGTGTGCCCTGAGTCCTGGCTGTCTTTCTGTCCTTGCTCAAAAGGGCTACTTCACCCACAAAATTTCATGTCCAGCCAATCACCGTGAAAACAGTTGTGACAAATTTAGGTACAAAAGGAGAGCTTTTTGCCATGACTTTGTTCCATGTCCGTTTCCAACCCTGGGACACTTTTCCATTAAATCTTGAGAATTATTGCTATAATTTGTCATCCATTAAATGGAGGGCACGTTATGAACAGAGATGATTCCCATTTCTTTTTGACATTTTGCTTCTTCATTTTATCATAATTATATTTTTGAACTGCCTCCCTCTCCCCACCTCTGCGCTTTTATCTGAATGCGCACTGCACTGGGATTAGCAGACAGAGGCTTCCGCTCCCCTTGAAGATGTGGATGCTGAAAGCTCAGATGTGAAGATGAAGCCGAGCTGAAATACGTGGCTGCTGCATGGCACTGTGGGTAAAAGGCTTTGGGAATGTTTGTGATGTTGCCCCAGAGAAGGTTTATGTGGAAGGTGTAGTCAACATTGATTTGCAATTCATCCAACATTTACTGAGCTCCTGCCTGTGCATAGACCTGTGATAGGCATTACAGAAACAACAGTGAATGAGATAGAGGAGTTTTCTTACAGGAGGAAGACAATAAGCAAATCAATGAACAAAATAATTGCAATTGTGGTAAGTGTAAATAAGGAAATAAACAGGGTGTTATGAGAGGCAGTTACAGGGTTTGGGGTAAAGGATGGGCTCTCTGAGGAACCAACTTAACCTGCTGTCTGAAAGATGGGAGGAAACGAGTCAGCCCCTCAGCCTTCCTGTGGAAGGGCGGGCACTGTGAGCAGCAGGCAGCAAAGGGCTTGGTGTGGACTAGGCACCCTCGGATGCCCAGGTGGGCAGAGGAGGCGGGTCAGGATTTTCTTTGGTTTTCTGGAAGAGGAGGGAAGCCTGAAAAGGCCTCAGACTGGGATTCACCTGAATCTGGGTAAATCGTGCTGTCTCTGAAAGCAGGGACCACCACTGTCTGGCTCACAGCTCTGACATCCAGCAGAGTGCTGGGCCCACTGCAGGAGACTCGTAGGGGGTGTTCCATTTCATGCACGAATTTTAACCTGTGTTCTCACTTGCTTCTTTCCTTCTCACACTTCACTGAAAGAACCAAAAGGCCTCGG